GCTTTTACATCATTAAGGCTCTTATATAGAGTCTTTAATGAAAATATAAATGAAAAGATATAAATATTTTTAAGAATTTAAGATTTTAACTAATATTTTTTCATAAACCATGAATTAACTATAACTTACATTATGGTGTAGGAGAGTAAGCAAGAAGTTCAATTTGAAATCTCATAGTAGACAAAAGAAATCATACGACATTGAGAGAACATATATTTAAGTTAGTAAATTCTTTAGTCCAAATTCTAAATTAATTTCTTTGGCAAAAAAATTCTAAATTAATTTATAATATCTCAAGCCTAATAGGTGTAAAAAAAAAAACTAATTAACTGAGGTTAATATTAAAATTATTATAAGTCTCATGTACAATATGTAACCTAAAGATTGAATCACCCTAGTCCCTATTTATTGTTAATGAATAATTTAGAAGTTTATATTAATCATTTTGCATAAAAATTTGGAGTATTAACTTTTTTTCAACTATTATTTTTATTTATTTATGAGTTTAAATAAGGATAAATTTACAAATTTTATTTTATTTTCAAAACCTTTTTTTTATCATGTGAGAGTGTTAGAACTGGCAAAAAAAGTAAAAAAGAGATGACATATGCTCTTGAAGTCCTGGTCTTTACTATACTCCCTCTATTGTAGAACAAAACATCAATATTTTAAATGGTCCCACATATCCATATTGATATCATGCCCAATATTAATATTCATCAATGCTTTTTCAATATATATCCATAAAGTATTGAAATATAATTTTTTTAATTTAAAAAAATTTAATTTTTGATATGTATCCGATAATTTTAAATTACAAGTTGATACTTTAAAGTTGATATTTTTAAGGTTATTTTTAAGAAATTAAATTTTATTAAATATTGCAATATTAATATTTTTTTGTTCCTAATATATTTATGTGATTTGATTTTAATGTCAAAGATTATATTTTCCGCAAATAAATAAGTTTTAGATAGAATAAAAGGATAAAAATTATATTTTTTAAAATTATAAAAGGATTAATGAGCATTTTGGACTTTAAAGTATTACACGAAAAGCACATCATATCTAAACTCCTAAAATGTGTAAAATAGATCCTAAACTTTTAAATTCAAAGTAAATTACCTGCTGCCATTAACTCATAGATAATGCCATTACTATTCATTTTGTGGGGCCTAGTCAAATGCTGATGTGACAGCCCCTTACTAATGTATCATTTGTTAATGAGCATTATAAACCTTAAATTATTGCCCAAGTAGCATCTTGAATCCTAAACTTTAAAATTCAAAGCAAATTACTTCTATTGTTTATATATAGAATATTAACTGTTATGAAGACCAAATTAATCTCACTATGGTCCACTGCAATGAATACATTATTGGTCATGGTGAATGACCCAAAATTTTGTGAACGACATTTTTGCCCCTCATTTTTTTTGCAATATTTTCAAATAATTGGTATCTCATATTTTCGTATACTCTATAAATTTGATTTAGTCTTATTTTAAATAATATTTATTTATTTAATGATGAAAACTTAGGATCTCATTTAAAAAGAAGTTTAGGTATCGAGAAATTTTAATTAACAAGTTAATTTAGGTTTAAAATTTATTGATGAAATCATCAGCATTCACGACTATCCTCTGATATTTAAACTTTTTTTAAATGAGATCCCAAGTTTTTACTATTAGATAAATAAATATTATTTAAAATAAGACTACATTAGCTTTAGAGTATATAAAAATATGAGATGCTAATCATTTGAAAAATATTATAAAAAAGGGAGAGAAAGGTCATTTTAAAATTTTTTGGATCATTCGCTATGACCAACAATACGTTTGTCATGGTGGACTACAATGAGGCTAATTTAGTTTACAAAACAATCAATGTCCTAAATAAACAATGTAAATAATTTGCTCTGAATTTTAGAGTTCAAAATTTAAAATGCTACTCGTACAATAGTTTATAGTCTATGGTGTTCATTAACAAATAACACATTAATAAGGAACTACCACATCAACATTTGATTGGGCCCTGCAAAGTGAATAATGATGACATTATCTATACATTAATGGTGGTAGGCAATTTGTTTTGGATTCAAAAATTTAGGATCCATTTTTACATATTTTAAAAGTTTAGGTTTGAGGTGCATTTCATGAAATATTTTAAGGTCCAAAATACTGATTAACCTATTAAGAGTAGGAATATAATCTTTTATCATATAAATCTTAAGTAAGAAACTATTAATAGAGACTAGACTATAGATAATTAGATAGAGATGGAATAAAAGTATAATTAATGATTATATTTTATTTGATATTATTATAAAGGACTATATATGTATGCTAGTTTAAATATTTTCTAAATTGAAAGTATATTTTTAATATTTTTATAATTTTTTATAAATATATTTGCATAAGTATCTTATCGCATCATATATTTTGTAAAAATAAAAGCATTGACATGTCAGATATGCATGCGCTCCTGTCACTATCAGTGAAACATAGTATTGAACAAGTTCTTGTAAAGTGACAGTTTGATTATAAATATATGACATTTTTTTTTGGGGTTTTAATATATTATTGCTAGTTTTTTTTTTTGGGCAATTCCTTTAATGAATATTAAAAATTAAGAACCTACCCTTCTCATATTTCACACCGTATTAAATGATTATAAATATAATATAGAGAGTATGCATTTCTCAATGGTTATTGGTGTTGTAAATTAATTAAGAATGTTTTATTAGCACATTTAACCAAATCAATGAGAATTGATTAACTCAATAACTTTATCTAAAATAAAATTGTCCTATTTTACTCAGATTTATAAGCATTTACTCTTATTTATAAGCATAGAGAGAAACATTGCTCCAAACTTCAAAGTCATTTCAAGAAATTTTTAGATAAATGAGGTGTACCATATTATTTATAATTTATCCAATAAAATATAATATTCAAATGGTATTAGATATAAATTAATTTTAATATCAATAATAATATAGAGAGAAAAGGTAATAAATTAATTATGCATTCTATTATAATAATAAAATTAATTAAAATAATATTATATAAAATTTTATTTAGATACTTTAAAAAATTTTAATTAAACATATTACAAATAACATACTGCACCCAATTTACTTAAAAATTTTTCAATCCTTCCTCAATAAATTGCAACAGCAACTAAAGATATTAATAATGCCAAATCAATTATTATACCTGCATACATAGATATACTCGCTTGGGTCCCGTTTGTAGGGCAAAATGATTTTTTTTTTGGGTCCCATTTCATCCTAATTATAAATTATTTTTAATATATTTTATAAAAATATTAAAAAAAATCTTAAAATTCATTATTTTTTAATAATTTAATAAGTTTTATAAGTTTTCAAACTTCATCCATATTATATATATATATATATATATGTTAATAAGATATTTTTTTTCTCATCAACATGGATAAAAGGATTTTTTTTTCTAAGAATAAATAAATATAATTTTAACTATTAACTTTTGAACCAATATGTCAAATAATTTAATGATTATTTATTTTTCAATATGTTGACAATGACAAAAAGAGTATATGACACATTTGAGAAGGGATTGTAAAGAGTAGTTACATTTAAAATATACTCTCTCTCATCTTTATTATAAGGTACTTTGTAAAAATATTTTTTAATTTTTAATATAAAACACATATTAATTACATTTTTAATATTATTTTTATTTAAATTCATTAATTATGAGGAAGAATGTAATATAAATTTAATTTTTTATTTAAATAGAAATAAAATTTAAAATTGAAAAAATGATAGAAAAATTTATTTAAATTATGTAAATGATAGATTAATTCTATGAAATGGTATAATTTTACTGGAGTCTCAAGGGATGTTTCTGTCACTAGAAAATTATAAAAAAATGACATTTTTTTCTTTATTCATATTAAAAAAATTCACAACTTTTTATTCATATATTAACAACTTTTGTTTATAAATTCGTAATAATTTAATAGCTATTCGCAAGTCTTGATCTACAAGTCCTGATATGCATCAGATGTTAAAAATTTGTAACTTTTTATTCATAATTTTTATTTCTATATTGACAACTTTTAATTCTAAATTTGCAACAATTCAATAGTCGTTTACAATTTCACATTTGCAGATCTTAATATACATCAGGTGTTAAAAATTCACAACTTTTTATTAACAATTTTTGTTTTTAAATTCACAGTAATTCAATAATCATTCGCAACTCCATATACGTAGGTCCTAATATGCATTAAGTGTTGAAAATTCATAATTTTTTATTTACAATTTTTATTCCTATATTAATAACTTTTATTTTTAAATTTACAACAATTCAATAGTCATTCGTAACTCTAAATATTTTTGTTTTATTTGATTGCAATTTGGTTATTTCTTTTAATTCTCTAATGATAAAAGAATTTCATGAGATTTCAAAAAAATTATATTATTTTATGAGATCAATCTGTTTTTTATTATATAATTTAAATGAATTTTCTGTTATTTTTCCTTAAAAATTTATTATATTTTTAAATAAAATTAATGCTGCCCCGCATCTTTTTATTCCAGTAAACATAATTTGGAAGCGTCAGGCATAGAAATTGGTCAACTCAGCTCCATAGAAGAGAAACAAAACGGAGACATCTTCAATAAGGAGAGCCTTCACAACACCCTCCTCGGAAACAACGACGTTCAAGGCACCCCCTCGTTGGTGATGGAGTCAGTATCCCTTGATACCCTCGATGAGTCCGCCAACCCCAATTCTCATCAAATATAAAATAATATTATTTTTATTTGTAATTTAATTATATTTCTCATTTTCATATTAATTAATACTATAAGAATAAATTTTTAATTTTTTTTATAAGAATGTCTTTTTTTCATGAATAAGTTTGGTTTTATCACTTTATGAAAATGTCATGTAATTGTCAGACATGTAAAAATTAAAAATTAAAAATCCAAAAGTCCAACTACCCGCCCTTGTACATACATAGATGATGGATTCCTTTTTCCTCTGCTCTTCTTCTTCAGGAGATTTATAGATCTCCAGTTCAGCCGCCATTTCCATCGCTCTTCCTCTGTAGTCTCCACTCTCTCGCTTTCCACTTATCACCATGGAGGCTTCTGCAGCTGCTTTGTCCCGCATAGGCCTCGCCGGACTCGCCGTCATGGGCCAAAACCTAGCCCTCAACATCGCCGAGAAAGGCTTCCCAATCTCCGTCTACAACCGCACCACATCCAAAGTCGACGAAACCCTAGATCGGGCCCGCCAAGAGGGTTCCTTGCCCCTCGTCGGTCAGTACAACCCGCGAGATTTTGTCCTTTCCATCCAACGGCCCAGATCAGTCATCATCCTTGTTAAGGCCGGTTCTCCCGTTGACCAGACAATCGCTGCCCTATCTGAACACATGGAGGCCGGCGATTGCATCATTGACGGAGGTAACGAGTGGTATGAGAACACTGAACGTAGAATCCAACAAGTTGCCGACAAGGGCATACTGTATTTGGGTATGGGTGTTTCTGGTGGCGAAGACGGTGCTCGCCATGGGCCCTCTTTGATGCCCGGGGGTTCTTATCAGGCGTACTCAAATGTGCAGGATATTTTGATGAAAGTCGCTGCGCAAGTTGAGGATGGCCCTTGTGTTGCATATATTGGCGAGGGTGGCTCTGGTAATTTCGTTAAGATGGTCCACAACGGTATTGAATATGGGGATATGCAGCTCATTTCTGAGGCCTATGACGTGTTGAAGCATGTTGGGGGTTTGTCCAATTCGGAGCTTGCCCAGATTTTCGCTGAATGGAACAGAGGGGAGCTTGAGAGTTTCCTTGTTGAAATAACTGCTGATATTTTTAAAGTTAAAGACGAATCTGGAGATGGGGATTTGGTGGATAAGATATTGGATAAAACAGGTATGAAGGGTACCGGAAAATGGACGGTGCAACAGGCGGCGGAGCTCTCCGTGGCAGCTCCAACCATTGCTGCTTCATTGGACTGCCGATATTTGAGTGGACTCAAGGATGAGAGAGAGAATGCTGCTAATGTATTGAAGGAGGCAGGAATGAATGACCAAGTGGGGTCTGTGAGGAGTGGGATTGATAAGAAGCGATTGATAGATGATGTGCGACAAGCTTTATACGCGTCAAAAATCTGTAGCTATGCTCAGGGGATGAACTTGTTGAGGGCTAAGAGTAACGAGAAGGGATGGAATTTGAACTTGGGGGAATTGGCTAGAATATGGAAAGGTGGGTGTATCATACGAGCGGTGTTTTTGGATAGGATTAAGAAGGCATATCAGAGGAACCCCAACTTGGCTAGTTTGATTGTAGACCCAGAATTTGCAAGGGAGATGGTGCAGAGACAGACAGCCTGGAGAAGAGTTGTGGGATTAGCTATATCAGCTGGTATCAGCACTCCAGGGATGTGTGCTAGTCTTGCTTACTTTGATACATATAGGAGAGCTAGACTTCCAGCCAACCTTGTCCAGGCTCAAAGGGATTTGTTTGGGGCTCATACTTATGAGCGAATTGACCGCCCTGGGTCCTTCCATACCGAGTGGACAAAACTTGCTCGTAATAGTGTTGGTGCTTTGAATTGAGTTGTTTGCTAGTTGTTTGGCTGGGTTGACGTTGATCATTCACCATTTGAGTTAAAATTGCGAGTGTCATGGAGGATCTTTGGTTAGGTCAAGCAAATATTGTTTAGTCAAGTAGTTTTTACTTGTAATAAGAGAAAGGCATGCCTTTTGGCTTTATTTACATATGCTTTTACTAGTTTTCCTCTGCCTTCGTAAATTCCTTATTGTTGATGGTTCCCTGTCTGGTTATAGGTTGAACCAGAGTAGCAGAAAATTTATGCATCATGTGTTTTGTGGTAATTTGCATCAAAAGCAAATTGGTTATGGTATAGTCTTGAGTTCAATAAAAACAAGTCTATTTTGCATGAAAAGATCCCTGTTTTATAAGTTCACAGCTTGTGTGGGGTATTTGATTTGATTGCACAGCTTTAATCACAGTAATTTTTACTGCCTTGTGCACTAGTACGATCAAGCTATCTGACAATATAGTGCACATCTTAAAAAAATCATAAATGACTAATGTGTATAGAAAACCAAACTAAGCCATCCCTCTACTGAGATCTGAAGACAAATCATTAATAAAACAAATCATCAAGACTTAACTCATAAAGCAGACCAATGTTTAACATAGCCTGTACGTCTCTAAGCTTCATCCTCAGATATTTGAAATTTTAGACCAATCCTCTGTAAGTTTTAACAATCAAAAGCACATCATTATTGGAATTGGAAATATCTAGTATTGTTGAAGTTTTTAAATGAGCTAATTGAAATGATCTAAACAGAATTAGATTAGAAGATGCAATGTGTAAGTTTATCGGTTGTTGATGATGAAATAACATCTAGTGGGCAATGTGATGCCTCGATGGTCCAAGCCTTCAAAGAAGGGTTGACCAAATTCTCCCCAATTCCTTTGGCTGCAACTTTTAACCAAGAAAGGCTCACCTGTTTACATACATACGACTCATGTACATGTTACATGCACATTAAAATTTCTCATGTAGCACTACTAAAGCTGGGGTACAAGAAACATGCCCTGCTACAGTGCTACACCCTTAGTTTAGCACCAAGCCTCATAAATCTTCACTAGAAGCTGTAGCAAGCCATTGATTACTAAGGTTTTGCCCTTTTAGGGAACACCTTTATTACTTGGATCTCCATTGGAAGTATTTGCACGCTGGTAGCTGATGTTGGTGTTATTAATCTTTTCATCTCTTAGTACTGCATTGTATGTGATAAAGTCTTTATGGTTATTCCCCTTGGGTTCATGCCCGCAACCTTTTGCAATTTACTTGTGATACCGATGAACCAATGCTATCTTTTTGGATTGCGCTTTTCAAATTGATATCAGTTTGAGGACCTATTTTTGAGTATGTGCGAACTTGGAAAGTTATTCAAGTATTGTTTGTGACAGAGTCTGCTAAGACTGAAAGAATCTTTGGTCCTGTTGCAATGTCGGAAAGATGACCTGCATTTGGTAGAGTGTGTGTTGAATTCTGCTTCACAGGAGTACGCTGATAAAACAGATGTTTATCCATCAGATATCGTAGTTGACAAGCAAGTCTATCTTCCACCTGCATCCGGCCATCATGATCCTCATGGTGTCTTCTGGTAATGCTCATGTTTTCTTTTAAGTGTTAGTAACCTTTGGCTGCAGTAATTCAGATAGATGTTGGTGACAAAAAATGTCAGTTTAATATGTTCATATACTATACTTTGTGTGGTACTTTGAGGTGGTTGATTGTTCTAATCTTTTCTGGCTCTGTTAATTGGGGCTTGCTTGCTGCTCACCATTGAAAAATAAAATAAAATAAAATAAAATAAAATTTCCGTTGAGATAGTACTACCAAGAAGTTCGATTCTTTCAACTTTTCAGGAGTAACATGCTTCCAGCTTTGTAGCTGATTTAGAGTACTTCCTGGATTTTATCTGTAATACTGTAGAGTAGTGTTGAATTTATTGTTTTCAGTATGCCTGATTACATTTATTTACCAATGTTTAGCTCTAGAGTAGTGGTGTTTCCTTCTCGAGATGGGAAGATTGAGTGTGAAAATACCCTTGATGCGTGATTGGATGTAGTATTCCGCAAAAAGCTTCCTGAGGTAATCTCTGTGAAATATTAAATTTTTTTTTAAATAATTTGTTTCCTGTCCCGTGATTTCTGTCATCTTTTTTAATGGAAGAAAGCCTTCGTTTTCTTTTTTCTTTTAAAACTAAAACTCTATTAATTAATTATAGTTCATCATATGATATGAAACCCCACCCATACGCCATAATTTTTAACCAATGTTGCTTTGTTCCTAGAAAGTCTTCTTAATTCCATAATTTTCAATTATAATGCTTTGACTCATAATGCAACCATTCACATTTTTCATCTTAACATCAAACTTCCAACATGCATTTCCTAGTGTCATCCGGATCTCTATACCTCGCTGTGTGTGTGTGTGTGTGTGTGTGTGTGTGAATTAGTGTGCATTCAAGATAGCAACGGAAGCTCAGCAAGCCTTCTTGGAGTGCAGCATTTGAAGTTTCTGAATCAGTGATGAAAGTGTCTATTAAAGCTTCTGGACAAGAGATTGATGGAGTGCAGCATTTAACACACAGCAGGGAAGTTTCTGAAAAATATGCTGAACCAGCATTCCACTTTCCACGGCCACATTGCACCAACCCATCCCTTACCCTTTGTTTTGGATGAGAAGAAAAATAGGAAGGACAGAAAAATGGGAGGAAAATTTTGTAAAAATTGTAAAAGAAAAAAATTTACTATTTTTGAAAATCTCTTCTCCTTGTTTTCTTTTCTCCCTAAAATGCATCTTGCAGCCATGTTTTATTTGAATGGATTAAATCCTGTTTGTATGAATTGACTGGATCCAAACCTGTGGGCAGGGGTCTTAATGACCAAAATTTTCTCTGGGCAGAAAAAGGCAGAGAGTCCTTCTATTCTTCGAACAGATTTCTATGAACTATCATCTATTGCTTAGATAAATTGTAGCATCTATGATTCAGTTTCATATCTCTGACTATGCCTTGATATAATAGTGTGGATGTGTAATATTCCTAACTAGTAGTTACTTTTCCTCTACAAAGACTTTGCTATTGTCCAACTTCTTTTGTCACTTCACTTCAGTCGAGTATATGTTATCATATATCCTGTAAAATGAAAGCTTTTTCCCCAACTTTCTTGTGTAATTGTTTATCTTGAAGGTGTTTTTAATTAATAGGAGGACAACTTTTATTTTTTTTTTATCACATTAAGTGAGTTTGATTTAATTTACTGTTCACACCCTGTCTTACTTTTGCCATATTAAATAGTTCTAGATGGTTAGCTCAGTAATTTGTGTCAAAAGAAGTCCTGCATTGCTCAAAACTAAGGAGGCCTTAATATATAGTCCTTGTGGTCATAATTGCAGGACATCTTATAGAGACATCTTGTAATAGTTAAATAATTTTTTTCCTAAATTTATCTTTTCTTGATTAACATGAGATAAATTATGTGTTATTTATGAGAAGGTATTTAAAGCTTGAGCATGAGTTGTATGATTATTTAATATCAAGGGTAAAAATGAAAGTTTATTTAATTTGTTTTAATGATATTAAGAAAAAATGAATTTTTTTTAAGATGTGTCTAACAGTTAAATGGAGGAAGTATATACTAAGATGAGAATTTGAGCAAGTAAACAGGATAATAGAAGTGGATTTACCCATGTAATGATGGATCGATATTCAATATAGTTGAGATCTAGTTATTCTCTCTTGTTCTAGAGTTAGATGTGGTATTTAGCACATTAATAATGATTTATTATCTTTAATGTTCAGAAACGGTCATCTTTAATGGTCATTTAGTCATCTTTAATTGCTTCTAAACTACCCTTGTTTTTGGGCCTAAATAAGCCTGTGGTTGCAGATTGTTTTGGGCCTATGTTTTCTAATATGTGTCTTATATTATCTAGTAAACATACATACATACATATATATATATATATTATATTAAAATTGATGCAATATTAGATATTCTAATGAGATATCATTCAGTAATAAGATATTATATAAGATACTAAATTATCCTGGTAGAGGCCTAAAATATATTAGCGGATTGAATTTAGGTTGAGGGATTTACTTAGTTTAAATTAAAAAATAAATAACCCATGGGTTATAAATAGATGTCTATAAATTGAGTTAGTGTGTAATTAACTGAGGAAACACCCTCGTGGTCGTGCTCTGAGGGTTTCCTAACTGATGATACCTCTTCCCTAATTGTCATCACTTTCACTGCGTCCTAGTCAAAAGAATTCCTCTCAATCTATTTTCTTAAAAGATTTCCTCTAATATCTATTTTCTTTAATTCTCCATTTTGTGCTTCTCAGTTATTGTGAGACTAGAGGGACTTTGCTTCAAATCATTTTTAAGTCTTCTATTGTAACTCTCGGCTTTTAGGAATTTTATATAAATGTTAAAAAAGAGACTTTTTCTTACATGGAGTATCAGAGCCTCATTATTTTATGTGCCTCGATATGGTATCTGATGCATTTGAGTGGACTTTATTTTCACGGATTTTTGAATATTTCCTGTGAGTGGAAAAATGATTATTATATTTTTCTATAATGATTTTTTTTTTCATATATGAAGTTATGATTTTGATTCGAGATTGAATCATAGATTTGGAAAAAGAAAACATGTTCAAGTCTCTAAGTGTTTAAAAATCGCGTATTAACAAGGAGATGACTTTTTTTTTTTAGTTTATGATTTGATGTATAATTTGCTTAAAATCATATTTAATATGCCTTCAAAACCTTTTATACTCCTATATTTGTGAAATAATTTCTCCCACACGTGAGATAAGAGTAACTCTACATTTTCCAATGATCACCATCGATTATACTAATAGAAGAAAGGATCACATGTCAGCTTTGAATTAACTAGAATCAGAATCTTTGGTATTGATTTCTGGCATCGTATTGTCATTATCTCATTTGCCTGTTTTATGATGCATGAGTTGAGTTTATTTTTTGCGACAAAAAAAATTTAAATAAGTATCACATATTGTCACTATGAAATATAATTTCTGGATTTTTATATTTATGATTTTATGAAACAATAATTCATTAGACAATTGAATCATGATTATGGGATTGTCATGCCATGTTATGCGTTTTTAAAGCACGGTCATTTTTTTCAAATATGTGAAAAATTTGTTTGCCCAAAAAAAAAAAACAACATTATGTGAAAATACACTTTTTGAGGTCGCCTTCATATTTCGATCAGTGACATTTTGGGGCTGGAATTTTTTTTTATTTCTGAGAATTATTTTGGGCGCTGTTTAATTGTCCGGAAATTTTGAAAAATTATTTTTGGGAAATTATACGATTGTTTGAAT